AACAGCTCAAATGAGATCATAATTCAGAGAGAGCGCCAGGCCTCGACATTCGGATCCAACTTGCAGCGCAGGACCTGCCATGCCGGGTTAGGCCCCACCCGCATTTAGTGACCACAAAGGATAGTGGATATTAGGGTCCTAGGTATTGATGGCAACTCTTATTGATCTAATTCTGATCTTCATCATTGGGTAGAATTCAAACCCTGGAGCAACCTGGCTCAAGTCAACGAGATGAGGTTTAGGGTTTAGGGTTGGATTTCAGTTTATGATCCCTTGAATCAGACACCAAGCATATACGCTAACATGCCTCGCGCTTCTGTACTGCTGGGATTAGACTTAACCCGACTCCCTGAACCCTACATATGGTTGTGGGCTGTGCACTCTTTTATCCTCCTCCAGGGCCCCGCCCTTCCTTGATTTATAGTCCCCCTTAAGTAGAGAGAATATGGGGCATATGGGATACTTTTATGATATACCCAAAGCCATATTCTATCTACTTAAGGGGGACGATAATCCCCACCTGGAGCCCCCACCACACCACAAAGGACAGGGTGGTAAGGCTGACTCTCCTTCGTTCCTTGTACGAACCTCTATATAGATAGAATTTAGGGCTTAGGGTCTCTGTAAGTCCTCCTTGGGATGTATTTCACTGCTTCCATGATATTTTCCTATGGCTCATTCCAGTATATGTCCTTTTTGAACTGCTGTGCAACTTCTTTACAATTTCTTTCATAACTCTTCATGATATTCCGCAGGACATTCCAAAGTGACAAACCTGACCATACCACATCAGGGAGCGGCCATATATCCCCATACCCTCGTATTTACGGTTTCAGGTTTAGGGCTTTAAGGGCAACCCTTAACCTTAAACTGCTAAAATCCGAACTCTGAGCCCTAAACACTCAACCCTAAACCCCAAGTCCTTACAAATCCTGAGCCCTAAACCCTAAACCCTAAATCAGGGGTTTAGGGTTCAGGCTTAAAACCTAAATCCTAAATGTCCCTAACATATCCCTAGCATACCCCCAATACATATATATATATATGTATATGCACATACATATCAATACTATATCCCCAATCAATGTATAGCCCCTATGTATCCCGATAACATCACGAAACCAGAAAAACCCTGAAACCCTAAACAATGCCTAAAACCCTAAGCCCTAAAAACTTAAACCCTAAAACCCTGAAACCCTAAACCCTTTAAAGGGAGCCCAAACCCTGGGCTTAGACTGGCCTTTGGTTAGCTAGGAAGGAAGGAATGGATCCTTCTAGTCGTCCCTATAGATTGACCCATTATTATAGTTTCCCATGTTCTTTTCCATTCCTCCATTCCCACCCTAAGCCCTAAACCCTAAACACTTAAACCCTACACCCCTAAACCCCTAAACCTTATAGTAGTTTCCATTCTCTTTTCCATTCCTTCATTCCCACCCTAAACTTGGGACCTCCCCCCCCCCCCGTACCAGTCTATATTAGGGGTCCTATTAAGGGCTATATATAACCATATTATAATCATTATCCAACTGTTCCTGAGGGGGGGGCAGTACTGAACCTAAACCCCTAAACCCTAAACCCCTAAACCCTAAACCCTAAACCCTAAAAGGGCTTGGGGTCCAGTACAGGCTTTCGGCCTGCTCTGCCCAGCGCTTGAGCTGGTCTGGCTTCAGGAACCTCAGGGTTTGGGTTTTAGGGTTTAGGGCTTAGGGCTTAAAGCTCAAGATTTAGGATTTAGGGTTTGGGGTCTAGGGCTTAGGGCTTAGGAAATAGGATTTAGGGTTTAGGGCTTAGGGTGTGGGGTTTAAGATTTAATGTTTATGGTTTAGGGCTTAGGGTTCAGTAGAAAGTTCAAATAGCGTCAGAATTTCAATGAGTCCTCTAAATGCTAAATACATGGAGGGGCGGGGGGGGGGGAACGGCTGGTATAACTGAGAGAGATGGATTGAGGATATAATAGGGATGTATTATGGATAATATATATATATATATGTATATACGTATGTAATTGTCAGAGGTCGGGCTTCAGGAACCTCATGAAGATGTGCTCCCGACTTAGAGCTTAGGGTCCAGGATTTGGGGTTGAGGGTGTACGTTTCAAGTTTCAAGTTTAGGGCTTAGGGTTTAATATTTGAAGTTTATGAGTTGCGGCTTAATGTTTAAGATTTGGTCTTGGGGCTGAGAACTCATGGTTCAGGCTTTAGCGTTTTCAGTTCGGGTTTAAGGCTTAGGGCTTTGGTTTCAGTGCTTGAGCCAGGCAGTCCATGCCCCGCAACCGTAGCAGCCCTAAGCTTTTGGTGGGACGTACTCCATCGTTTCGGGTTTAGGGTTTAGGGGTTAAGTTTAGGGTTTGGGGTTTCGGGTAGGGATGTGCTGCACGTTGGGGGAAGGAATGCGGCAGATAGCATGCGGGGATCGCGAAGAAGGATTAGGGCATTCGACCAATCCTTGAGGAGATAGAAACTCGACAACAGAAAAGCCCCAGCGGTTTAGGGTTTAGGGTTTAGGGTTTAGGGTTTGGGGTTTAGGGTTTAGGGTTTGGGGTTTAGGGTTTAGGGCTTACAAAATTACAGAAGGACAAATGCAAATGGCAAAATTCATTATGGGAACTGCAGGCACATACACATGTATACACAAATATGTGTGTCTATACATACATGCATATTTCTACTCCCACCAAAAAATGGACCCTACGCCCTCGACCTTAACCCTACACCCTGCACTCACCACCCTATACCATCAACCCTGAACCCTAAGCTATAAAATCCTGAGCCACTCAGCAATTCACGATGAGAGGAGGTTGGCTACCCAACCTCCACCATAAGGACCCCATAACTACCATATTGCAGTAAGAAGATCCAAATTTTAGGGGCAGGGGTAACAAAAATCCATCCCCTTATTACCCTGAACCCTACACCCTAAACCCTAAACCCACCAGCCATATGCCGAGGAACCGCAGGGTCAACAGTGCTGCGGCTCTTACTTCAGGATCCTCATCCCGCAGCTTCTGCACGACCCAGGGTGCCTTTTTACTTATCGGCTCTTGGTGGGGAATGGGGGAATCTAATCCGCATATGATCCCTAAACCCTATACCCCAAACCCTATAATATATATAGATATATACTCTGCTAAGAACCAGTAAGTTTTAAGGCTTCGCGCTTTGGCTTCAGGAGTTGAAGGTTTGAGGTTTAGAGGTTTAGAAGTTTAGGGCTAAGGCTTCAGGCTTTAGGGTGGGGGGTTTCTGATTTAGGACTCTGGAGTTTTCGGACTTCAGCCGTTTCGGGGTTGAGATTCGGGAAGAGGATTCGGGACCAGGGATTAGGCTTAGGATTTAGGGTTTAGAGCGTTCCAACGCGGAATCATTGGCGCTAAGCCGACACAATCCTTTCTCACAGTACCGGGACACCAAGATTCGCAAACAGCCCCCCCATTACTTACGACCTTTTGGACCAAACGACCACGTGAACCTTGGACGTCAAAAAGCTGCAACCCTGTACAGGTCTCTATATATACATAAACGAATACATAAACGGATACATAGTTCGGTATGCATACATATTTGCCTATACAGAAGGTTTGGATAAGCTTCACGCAATCTAGAAATTACAGATCACTTTGCAGGCATCCCTATGATAAGGATTCAACTATACGGAACCCCAAAATTGTACAAACCCTAAACCCTAAAGGCATATGAGTTACACATGTTTTCAGACGATTCATGGAATATATGAAGGACTATACTAAACTACAAGGGGTCTATTTCCTAGCCCTAATATTGACAGTACCTCCTGTAACCCCTCTAACCCACTACATAATCCCAGTGTCCATCTCATTTTCCACATCCTTTTCCATAATTTGATTCTCAGTTATTGGGCGGCAATATCCCCAAACCCATAGGGAACCCCATTTCCGATAATCCAAAATCTGCGCAAGACACCTGCAGTGCCAACTCCGCATAGCTCAGCCTTTGGTTGGGGGGGGGGTTACCGTTTCGGGCTTAGGGTTACAAGGTTTAGGCTGGGTTTTGGGTTTAGGATAGCATCCAGGCTCTAATGATTATCAAGAGTTGTTCTTTTGTACGCTCAGGGTTTGAGCTTTAGGTTTGGATCACTCAACTGTGGCCTGTAATCCGTGTATTTTGAACCACAAACCCACGGGTACAAACCTTAAGGGTACAAACTTAAAGTCTGTTAGATTAGGTTTGGAGGATTGAGACAAAGTAGTGTGTTTTCTGTTCATCTTCGAAATCCGCCACAGCCTGCTGCATGACTCCCCCATAACCTTCAGAATGCCCTCATCCCTAAGATCTCAAACTCTGAATCCTAAACCCTAAGCCCTGAGCTAAAGCCTGGAGCCCTAAATCCTAAGACCTTTAGCCTAAACCCCTAAATCCTAGACCCCAAACCCTAAATCTGTATCTCCTGGTTGTTCAGAGCTGCCTTTGAAGGGCACAGAGGGCTGCCATCCGCACCTCACGTTCCCGATCCACCAGACATTGCACGACCCAGCCTGGTTTAAAGAGCTCTCTGAGCTGCTGCGTAAGGACGAGGCTTAAGGGCTTAGGGTTTTGGGACTAGACCATAGGGTTTTCAATCATGCTAAAAAATTACATAGCTCAGAAAGTCTACCAAGTCTGGTATCCTAGCTCAGGATCCCTAACAAAGAGTCTAGGAACATCTGAGCCATAGTCTAAACTCCTTAAAGGTGGTTATATAGGGGATTATATAGGGGACTACTATAGGGGATATTAAGGGGTATACTAGGAGTTTAGACAAAGGAACATCTTGTGGTTCGTGTGAATCTGGGGCTTCGAACTGAAGGTCTCTTAGGCTTGAGGTTTCTTTTTTTCGAGACTTCAAAACTTTGGAGGCTCTGTCCTGCACCGGTTCCTAAGCACTCCTTTAACGTGTAGAAAAACCTCGTTAAACTTCCACTTTCATGTTCGGTCCAGTGTATGCCGTCTATGTAAAACAAAACTATCCAAGAATGGGCTGGCAGCGGGTGTGATGCGCCCAAAGGTTGGGCGGCAGTCGCCTCAGCGCAACGAGGGCATCCTCACGGACGGCTACCTCCGCATCTGCGAGGAGGCGCACGAGAGCGGTCCCTTGCAAGTCTCGTACGGTGAAAGCCAAGGCATCTCGCACTTTCCAGTGGTACCAGTGAGGCTCTTTTTGCGCCAGATCCCATAGGTCTGGAGCGTCAACCAGCGTACCCAGCCACTCGACAGCCTCCTCCTCAGGTCTAATCGGGGCTGCATAAGGCAGCTGTCCGGCCCCTTCAGCAAGACCTCCGTCAAGCTCTAGCAGTAAGTTGCGTCGAACTGCTTCAGGTGTCTCAAACCCGCGGGCAGCTGGCTGTGACAGAGAATCCGCATACAGCATGCTGTGACTTGGACCTTCAGTGCCATTGCCATATCTTCGCACCGGTGGAGACGGTGGGGATGGCAACGATGGAGAAGGCGGCGACAGTGGCGATACTGGCGAGCGTGGCGACGGGGGTGGCGGCACTCGCACGGATCCTGGCACACAGAGGCACTTCCAGGTCTTTCCATTGCGAAGAAACGACATCCGGGCATCTGTTGGCACGTCCTTCAGACCGTGCAGCACCGGGAGCTCCAGTTTCTGTATAAGCTCACATGCTCGGCGTCGAACTTCAGACACAGGATCCGCCACCAACGGCAACACTGCTTCAGCATAGGGGGCCAGCTGGGACCCTTCCAGGCCCAGTAGCCGTTGAAGTACTTCCGCTCGAACTTCCCACTGGGAATGGCCCAGATCCGCCAGCAAATTCTCGAGGCTCGTAGCTGCCTCGCCTTACTTGTGTGCAGTTGGCAACGGAGGAATGGATGCTAAAGCAGTCCTTGTCTCACCCCCAGTACAACCCATAGCAGATCCCACAACACCTGAACCCGGATAATATGAAATGTTGCACTTTCCATAGCGGTTTCCCTCCTTCCTTGCCCCCATTCCCGCACTTACCACCAGCAGGCTAAAACCCCTGAACCAAAAAAAATCTCCAACATGTCCCCAATATACTATAGTAGTTTCCATTTTATTTTCCATTATCCCAACCCTAAACCCTAAACCCCTGAACCCTAAACCCCTAAACCTCCAAACCTTAGCCGTGCTCACCTGGGTTGCTGTTAAGGAACTTAAATTGAGTTACCATAATGGGTATATATAGTAAATAATAGGGTTTCCCCAATATAGTAACTTAATTTAAGTTCCTTAACAGCAACCCAGTCACGCACTGTGGTGGGCTCCTGAAGTGGCACAGACCTCGCTGCCATGGCACTCGCTCGTTGCGGCAGGGCAAGGCAGAGCAATCAAAAATATCTATTACTGTTACTATTATTATCATTACTATTATTATTACTACTATTATTACTATTGCTATTACTATTATTACTACTATTATTACTACTATTATTATTGTTATTATTATTATTACTACTAAATGTGATTTTTCTCAAACTGGGGAAGCCCTTGGACCCTGGGGTGTGTGGGGAGTGTAACAGGCGTATGAGGGTTTGCTAGCCATTATCCAGGGCTCAATGTGAGAAATTCCGATGTCTGTATACCGGCTCTTCTCCAACAGTGACTGGCAATTCCGTACACAAACTGGTCAGCCACGTTTTGCATTGCTTGTGAAGCCTCCTTGCTGCTAATTGTGAACCCCCAACTCCTGTCCGCATGTTTGGGTAAGCTGCAGACGTCATCAATGCAATCATCTCAGGATCATGGCATTCTGTTTAGCGGTGCCTACACCCGTTAGACCCATTTCCGGGATCTGATGAGAACCTGATCCCCTGATCCCCAAACCCTGAACACTAAACCCTGACCAGTACCCAACCTACGACTATTGCTACTACCATCATTACTATCACTATTCTATTTCTGTGACTCTTACCACGTCTGATCTAGTTTCTATCTCTCTTACCTGTACTATCGCTGTTGCCCTTTAAAACAAAGGCAGGAAAACAAAGGCAGCAGCTGCCCTGGATGCTCAGGCTTCCACGAATAACCTGAGCTCTCACGGAGGTGCTGTGAAGACACATGGGGATCTCTGCAGATAGGGACTCCGCGGATAACTATTCCTACCAATATTATTACTATGATTACTATTCTTACTATGCCTACTATGTAGGGAGGACAAGAGATTTGTAAAGGCTCGGGTCTTTTGTACGGATTCTATAGAGGGGTCTGGATTCAACATCTCCCAGATTCCCAGAGCATTCTGAAGCTGGATCAGGCTTAGGTAGTCATGCACATGGAAGATGTCATCTGAGCTTACAGACTTCTTTCTTCTTGGCTTTAAGAAGAGGTTTCGGGTTTAGGGTTTGGGGTTTTGGGTCACTAACCAAAAGCCAAAAGCTTGTTCAACATTGGTTCTAAGTAGCTGTCATCAAAGGAGTTCCAGCCAGGAGGCAGAACTTGAACACTGGCGCTGCCTGATCGCAAACACGCGCAATGCCAGCATCTTTCAAAACTGTCTTATTGGGGTGATATAAGGATTAACTAGGGATCATAAGGTATACATAGGGGTTATATAGTGGGTTTAGGGTTAAACGGGTCCACAGCGGACCGGCCATTTTGGTGGTTTCCGCTGGCATCTTGTTGCCGAACATGTTAGGAAGCGGGGGGGGGGCCAGCAGTTCCGCACGGGCGCATATTCTCCAGCCTTCTTTCGGAATATTTCTGTATTGCTTCCACACTAGGGGCACTAGTCTTCGATAGTTTTGTAATTTGCGCTACAACAAAAAAACCTCTTGTAAAGATTCAGAGAAAAGGCAGGCCATAGTGTCAACAGGCCTTGAATTCCATGAGCTCCACCAGGGCTTTGATTTTGTAAGGTCGGCTGAAATGTAATTTCACCAGATGACCGATACGAAAACCGATGCCCCAAAATCAATTTAGCACCTTGTGCTTATATTGGGGTTATTCTTGGGATAATGGAAAATAAAATGGAAACTACTATAGTATATTGGGGTCATATTGGGGTTATATTCTTCATAGAGTTGAGCACAACACTGCATTCAGAAGCGCTCCTCAGCCTGGGGCCTTTCCTGAAAACCCTAGTTTCCATTTATTTTTCCATTTTCTTTTCCAATAAAAACTTCAAGCCTGGGGACAACTAGCGTTCGAATTGTCGGAATGCAGGAAGATGCTGCAAATAACCCGGCATCGGCGCCGGTTCGCGATGGAACCGCCAGGGTTTAGGGCTTAGGATTTATGGTTTCGGGTTTGGATCTCTTCTTGCGAGATGCCTGATTTAGAGATGCCTTTGCTGGGGTCCTTACACTAGCGACTGGAACATATGAAGAATATAACCCCAATATAACCCCAATATACTATAGTAGTTTCCATGTTTCCATTATCCCAATAATAACCCCAATGTAAACATTTCCATTCTCCCAACAATAACCCCAATATAAACAAAAGGTGTTAAATTGATTTTGGCAGTATATGGAGGGACCCTGAACTTTGCCTCATGCAACAATGCAACGTCACCAGCGACACAGCATTAGTATAGTATGCTGTAATATGCCTCCCTAAACCCTAAACCCTAAACCCTAAACTTATATATTATATTATACCATACTATACTTTAATATACTAATGAACGACTCAAACCCTGAGGATGAGGCCATCAGCCGCAGCGGAAACGACCTCACCATGACAATGAATGATTTCTTCCAGTTTTCCTGTTTGTCCACTGAGAAGGCTTCTTGGCATGTCAACATCATGGCCAACAGAAGATGTACTAAGCAGGATGCTTGGCGCCATGACAAAAAATCGGCCTTCTGTCGTTCCTTCTGACTTGGGTGTTTCCTGTGCTTTGGCTGGCCGCCGCTGTGCCAGGCAGCATGCAATGTCGGATTGATGTTTCTGCCAGTATTTCTTCTCCCCCAGAAGCTACATACACTCGCCAATCCTTCGTTGAAACGTCGAACCGCACATTCATATGTTCCCATGCCATCCTCACCTTCAAACATGGGCTAGTTAAGGATGATCAAGGGCTCTAGTAGGCCTTGTTTGGTGCAGGTGCTATAGGATCCTATGACATGTCAACATGCGACCCCCAGAATGTTAACCCTACACTGACCGCTCAAACCGCTTGACATGAACGCTGAAAACCCTAGAACGAACCAAAAGCGCTAAACGTCTAAACCTTGCATACCCTGAATTGTCAAACTCCGTCCACATGGTTTACGGTTTAGGGTTTAGGGCTTAACAGTAAGAACCTCCATACTTGTTACCTTTACGCCCGATCCCTCATAAGGACCCCCAGAATGCCCTCTTAGTTCCAATATCTCCGTCGGATCCTTGAAGGTACCCCATCTCGAGAAACCCCGAATCTCTAAACCGCAAACCGCAAACCCAGACCCCCAGACCCTAAGCCCCAAACCCCAAACCCCAAACCCCAAGCAGGCCCTGAACCCCAAACCCGAAAACCTTCAAACCTGCACCACGAACCCCGAATCCCAAACCAATATTGCTAGTAGCACCTTAGCACCTAAAGCTTCCATGTCTTGTCCACCACCTTTAAAGGACTACAGGGGTTATATAGGGGGATATATAGGGGTTATATAGGGATAGACAGGGTTTAGGGTTCCTAAAATTGTGGGTACCTGTTTGGGGGTCACATAGGGTCACTATAATACAGACCATGGTATTTTGGGGTCTATATTGGGGGATCCCTTTTTAAAGGAAACTACCGGAGCTTTAGCATTGGTTCCCCTGTAAATGGGAGATACAGGGATATAAGGGTTCGTAGGGATGTGTAGCGGTCTCTGGGGCCATGTGGAGATAAAGTAGAGGAGAGAGAGAGAGAGAGAGANNATATATATATACACATATTTGTGTGTATATAGGTCTGGGGATGTAGGGGGCCCCCAAACCACGCAGCTAGGCCCGCTGCCGGTTGTGCCGAGCTGCTAGGCTCAGAGGTTCCAACACACACAAATCCATGCCTCAGGGTTTCGGATTACAGGGCATGTACAAGGGCCTTTTGTAGGGATACTATAGGGATATATTGGGTTCCCTGAAGTCTAAAGCCTAAACCCTGAACTCGAATCGCTAAGCCCTAAACCCTATGACATGCAAGGTTTGTGGATTGGGGGTTTGTTGATCAGTGCATCGGCTGATTCTGGTGATACTTCTGGCAATTCCTGCTGCTCCTACACTCCAACCTACCCCTGCCGGTACCCCTACCCCTGCGCACATATGGCTTGGTTCGCCCGCACATCATAGGAACAGGGCTTTGTTCCAACCGGCCATTTCTTAAGCTTTTTAAGGGTAGGATTGGTCTTTTTAACATATGGGTGGTTGTCTAAACTCCTAGTATCCCCCTTAATAACCCGTATAGTAGTCCCCTATAGAATCCCCTATATAACCCCCTTTAAGGAGTTTAGACTATAGCTCATATGAAGTCTTTGTCTTTGGCATCTCGAGAGTTGGTGTGTTCTTTAAGTTTGGGTGTTTAGGGTTCGGGCGTGGGATTCTTTTTTAGGGTGCTGACTTTTTAGGTTTAGGTGCGTTAAAAGCTTGGACTTGTTTGGGGTTTGATTTTTGGGGCTGTTGTGTTCTCTAAGTTTGTCTTTTAGGTTTAGGGTTTGGGGTTGTTCATGGTATAGATATTTCAGGGCTTCGGATGTTTTAGGGCTTGGGCTTTTGTTGGTTTGTCTTCTTTCTAAAGGCTTGGTGAGTTCTTTCAGTTTGGGTTGCCCGAGCTTGAATCCCCTGCGCCCTGCCAGCTATTTGAACATCAGGATCCTTGAAAGCCATTCTACACTGCACACCCCGCCATTTG